CCCCCCCACCCCCTCCGCTGGGGCACCGCCAGCAACACGGGGCCCATCAGATCACACGGGGAAGGGCTTGTTTCACAATCCGTGCCACGTTTTTCACGGCCACGGCACTAGTGGGGCCCTGTTCCTTAGCTAGGAAAGGGAACAGCTGAGAAATGTGGAGCCCTCTTTGTGGCTCCCTTCATATTGTAACCCCCATCTCCACCGCACTCTCGTCTGTCCTCCTGACTCCTCCCAGCGGGCTCAGGGTGCTGCAAGGGCCCAGTGGCCGGCAGAGAAGGGGGGGGGGGTAAAACTGGCCAACGGGGGGCACCAGACCTTTGGGGGCAGAGGGGCTGGCGTGTCTGGGAGTAGCCAGCGGTAGGGGCTGGCTCTTGCGGGGTCCGGGATCCCCAGGGGACACAGAGGCGAGGATGAAGCTGTTCAGGGGCAGTGAGGGCTGGCCTAGCTCAGAGGAGCCGCTGAAGCTGGAGCTGGCGCTGAAATTCACCACCGGAAAAACTTCCTCTTGTGGAGCCAGTGACTCAGAACCGTCCTGCCCGGATCCCGGAGGCCTGGCACCAACGAGGAATTTCAGCTTCTGTGTTTTTAAAAGAGGAAGGTGCCTGCCTTCGTCTCTGCAGAGCACAGCTGGAACTGCGAAATGGCCCAAGTTGTGATACGTATTTCTTACAGCTCCTGCTTTTGAAGCCAATCTCAAGATTTTTAAGGCTGACTCATGATTTTTGACCGTGTGGGGTTGGCAGTGGGGAACATAAGAACAGCCAGGCTGGGTCAGACCAAAGGCCCATCCAGCCCAATGTCCTGTCTGCCGGCAGTGGCCAGCACCAGGTGCCCCAGAGGGAGTGAACAGAACAGGGAATCATGATGTGACCCCTCCCCTGTCGCCCATTTCCAGCCTCTGGCAAACAGAGGCTAGGTACACCATCCCTGCCAAGTCTGGCTAACAGCCATTGACGGACCTGGCCTCCCTGAATCTAGCTCGCTCTTTTTTGAACCCTGTTGAAGTTCAGGCCTTCACAGTCTCCTCTGGCAAGGAGTTCCACGGGTTGACAGTGCGCTGCATGAAGAAGTACTTCCCTTGGATTGTTTTAAACCTGCTGCCTATTCGTGTCATGTGGTGACCCCCACTGTCATTGGTGTCATACCAGTGCCAGCAGAGCCATTCTGATTTGCCTGCCGTGTGTTTTGCGTGCGGCATGAGCTTCCAGTGGTGTTATCGCACCAACGTTAAACGCACTAAGTCGTTGAAACTCGAGCTGTGCGAATAATGGGGATTTCTGTGTGTTGGCAATTTTAAAAAGCAAGAAGAAATGGCTTAAGGTCAGACTGAATCGGAAAATGTTTGAATTTTCCAGCAAATCGAAAAGCTGCAAAAACAATTTTTTGAGGATGAACAAAAAAAATGTTGCTTTGGTTTTGACCAATTTTTTTTAAGAAGATTAAAGGGAAATTTTGAAATGAAACATCCATTTTGAAACAAAATATTTCCCTTTTTTTTTCAGAAATTTGAGGGTCCGTCCACCCCTTCCTCCCCCCACAAGCTGAACAAGTCAAGGAAACGGACCCTGATCCTGTGGCACGTTTCATTCTCACTGACCTGGTCTTTTTCGCCCAAAGAGGTTTTGGCCTAAAAATTTCAGCTGGCCAGGTAATTAGGACTTATGGGGCCCTGTGCAGTGTTATTAAACTATATCCCACAGCAGCCCACGGCCACGTGTGTATATCGGAGGAGGACGGCCTTTTGAAGGATCTATTTTAAAACGATGTGTCTGACGGTCCCAGCATTTAAAGCTACAAATCTGCGCCAGGGTTTTATAGAGATGGGGTTTTATAACCCTCAGCCACACACCAATGAAACGTTTCCGAAGCAAATTTGAAACCAAGGGCCTGTCGCCCGGCATGTTTGGTGTCCACGTTACAGCCACGCACAGCCGGCGTTGTGAGTCCATTCGGAAATCGGCAGCCTGTTCCCTGCTACAGAGTTTCGCTACCACTGGCGCGGCTCTTTCCGTTTCAATGTTGTGCTCCCAGGACTGGCAGGCTGGAAGGGTTTTCCTGCTTTTCAGTTCCCCCCTCCCCAGAGAAGCCAGTTGCAATGGGGCGCTGTTGGAAGGGTCAGAATGGGGCTAGGAAGAGGTGGGGAGGGTGGGCACTAAGACCCAGGGTGCCCCACGTTTTCAGGGGCCCTACGCAGCCACCTATGCCGCACGTGCCTACGGCCAGCCCAGCACCCAGCTGGCATGGAAATTGAGTCAACAGCCTTTGGAAGCCTGCCGGATGAGCTCGTAATGCGAGGCGATTATTGATGATTTAGTGGCAGTGTTGTTGTGGGTGTGTGCACTGAACGTGTGGCCCGATCACGGGGCCGGACCCCCTGCGCTGCCCGCACGGCTGTATTTCACCCAGCTCGCACCGGCGACGCCCAAATGCCCGATGGCTCAAAACACCCCGAGGGGTTTTAAGACCAGACTGGACGGGGGGCCTGGCACGGACCCAACTGGGCTGGGGAACAAAACCCCCCCCCCCCCCCCAGTCCGGGGAAAATCCCTCCACTGGGAACAGTGGGTCCTCAGGTGCTGGCCAAGGGAGGCCCCGCTGGCCTCTGGAGAAGCAGAATGACGCTGCCCCTTTGCTTCCGAGTGGCTGATGTTGAACGCGGGCGCTGGGCCAGGCCCGAGGCTTCCTCCCTCTGCACGTCCGCTCCCAAAGGGGCTGGGGGGCTGACAGCCCTGTAGCATAGGGGGGAAAGGGGCAGCTGCCCTGGGGCACAGAGCTTCTCAGCTCTACAGTGGTGGCAGCCGAACCCCGGGGCCCTTTAAATCTCCGCCGGAGCCCCACACTGCGCTCTGGGCGGGGCTGAGGGCTGGCTCACCCAGCCCCACCCCTTCGGGGAGCACGGAGCCAGCCCTTGTCTGGCGTCCGGTGTGGCTGTCGGCTCCCGGGGGTTGCCTGGTCATTGGTCGCTCTGGCGTCTGCCACGCGGCGGTTCTGCCGGAAAAGCCTTTGCCAGGAAGTGAGGCGCCTGCCGGCAGCCCAGTCAGACAATCAGAGCCGCACACAGGGAGCGTGTGGTTCTCAGGCTGCTGCCGCCTCTTTATTGAAGGGTTTGGCGCCGGGCCCCCTCACCGGGTTTTATGCCGGCCCCGCGCCCGAGAGGGCACACAGCAACCGCGGCTCCGTCCATGGCAGAAATGCTCCCGCCCGAGTCCTCACCTCGCGCCCCACAGATCCGCGCACAGAGCTGAATTACAGAGCAAGCCAGCGACTGGGGGGCGGGCAGGGTCTGGCAGGACTCCTGGGTCCTCCTCTGAGAGGAGAGCGTGGCCTAGCGGTTAGAGCCCAGAGGGGGCAGATGGGACCCCTGCGTCTATTCTTGCTGCTTCCTCGGCTCCGTTGCGTAATCCGAGTCGATAACCCTGAGGTGACTCATCTGTAAATTAGACCTGCACCCAGCCAGTGGGTGGGGCGCTTTAATTAACAGCTCGGTAATCGCTCTCAGATCATCCTCCCCTTAATTACACCGAGCTTGTTTTGCTGATTTAGAGGGGGCAGATGGGACCCCTGCGTCTATTCTTGCTGCTTCCTCGGCTCCGTTGCGTAATCCGAGTCGATAACCCTGAGGTGACTCATCTGTAAATTAGACCTGCACCCAGCCAGTGGGTGGGGCGCTTTAATTAACAGCTCGGTAATCGCTCTCAGATCATCCTCCCCTTAATTACACCGAGCTTGTTTTGCTGATTTCCCAGCTTGGCGATTAAACAGCCGGGGGAGGCTGGGAACACTCATCGGGCTTTGGGCCACGGGGCTTACACGCCCTGAACTTTGCGCCACCCCTTCGGCCCGCCGGCTGGCCCCCCGATTCCGTCCCCCTCGGCCCTGCAGCAAGACGCGCCTGGAGCAAAGTGGAGAGGCCCGTCGGGGGACGGG